CAGTGTGGGAAAGCCTTCAGTTGTTCCAGTTCCATTCGGATACATGAAAGGACTCACACTGGAGAGAAGCCCTATGAATGTAAGCAGTGTGGGAAGGCCTTCAGCTGCTCCAGTTCTGTTCGAATGCATGAGAGAACTCACACTGGAGTGAAACCCTATGAATGTCAGCAATGTCATAAAGCCTTTAGTTGCTCCCGTTCATTTCGGATCCATGAAAGAACTCACACTGGAGAAAAACCCTATGAATGTCAACAATGTGGTAAAGCATTCAAGTGTTCACGTTCCTTTCGAATACATGGAAGAACTCATAATGGACAGTAGTCCTTTGAATATAAATTACATGGTAACGCTTTCAGTTGTCCCATTACCCCTTGAAGGTATGAAAGGACTCTTGCTGTAGAGAAACCCTGTGAAAATGAAATGTGGGAGGGACTGCAAGTGTAGCTCAGTGGTAGAGACCTTGCCCAGTGTGCTTAGGGTCCTGAGTTCTATTTCCTAATACTACAACAACACAAAAAATAAAATACACAGGAAACTTTCAGTTCTCCAGGTGTGAATACCAGAAAGAACTCAGAATGGAGAAAAGCCTTGTGACCATAAGCATCATGGGAAAGTCTTCATTGATCATACATGTTTTTGAGGATCCATTGAGAATGCACATGGAGAAAAATCCTACAATGTAAAGAATGTATAAAAGCCTCTAGTTATTCCTGTTTATTTGGAAAACATAAACAGGCTCACACTGGAGAGCATCTTATTCAGTGTAAGCAGTGTGGGAAAGTCTTCAGTGGTCCACATCTTTGCCAAACAAGGGAGAAAGCACATGGATGGAAACTATATAAAAGCAAAAAAATGATAGAAAAATTTCCACTTTATCATATAGTCAAGTGGTATCCTCTGTCATGTGAAACTTCAGACTCACATGAAGACGCCCACTAGGAAGAGAGACTATAAATGTTGATAATATGGGAAATTCACATCATGAAAGAAATGTTATAAAACTTACATATTTTATCAGTTGCTCATTCTTAAAGTGTATCCCTGGGCTATAGATTTCTATTTATTACTTTGGCATATGAACATTGAGGTGAGATAAATCTGTAAGCCCCAGTTAAGCAGTTGTACACATGTTTAATAAGTAGTGTTTTCTATCAGTTAGTACAGTTTTCTCTTTTCCTTTTGAAGTCTGTTGGATTCATGGGTTAACTGAAGTGTATCTCCAACATGAAGTTTTTCATATTTTTATATGGTTTTAAAATTGTTCCTTGAGTAAGGGACTATTGAACAATGACAGTTTGGAAATTGTTGGGATATTCCTACTGGCTTTGTGTGGCAGACAGTAGATATTCCTTATGAATTATATACATTCATTTTTTGGGTGGGGTTGGTTTTTTTGAGATAGGGTCTTGCTATGTGGTTCAGGCTGGCCTTGAACTCACTATGTAGCCCAGGCTGGCCTTGAATTTTTGTGCCAGTCCTCCTGCTTCAGCCTCCTGAATGCTGGTGATTACAAATGTATGCCACCATGCTTGAGCTATACATTCATTCTTTCTGATTGCAAGAAGTTTTCTTTTGAGAGGGCAGAGGAGCCCTGTTCTGTTTTCTGTGTTAATAGAGTGGACCCTTAACTTATGAACTCAGTTTATTTCCCAGGGCTGGTTGTAACTCAAGTTGGTCAATTGAAAGTTCAGCCTCCTCTACACAGCCTTCAAAGTCTCCTGTATATAGGCAGATCTCAGTGTCCTAAGAGAGACATTGGCCCAGTATTTCTCAATTAATTCCACATAGGAAAGGATATTGTATTGTTCCTTCCAGAACAGGGTTAAATCCATATCTGAGACCATCTGGAAGCACAAGTGGCTGGCATTTGAATCAAGACTTTGTAAGTTAAAACTAAAATGCTGGTTATAATCAAAGTTGTTCATATGTCAGGCTGGTCATAATTCAAGGGTCCACTGTAGTTATTATAAGTTTGGGAGTAGGCAGACTTTATCTTACTGAATCCTGTTGTTTGAATTGTACTTTTCATCTTTTGCTCTTGGTTATTGTCATTCCTCCTTGCTGTGGTTTGTAAAACAGAATGTGCATTAAACAGAGACCCATAGTACAATGTAACCTATAGTTGGACATGGCTTTCCTAGAGTGTGTTAATATGGGTAACAATCATGACCTATGTTTTCTACTGTCCATCCCTTAAGGTTCCATGTTAAAATTCACCAATAGTCTACTTGGGTGAGACACAGAAGACAAAAGCCATGAAGGGAGTTAGGTTTTGTAAACACTATATGTGGAGATATATGGATGCATAGGAGCTTTAGGGACACCTGCTTCCACCTCATTTTTGGATACTTTGCCCTGCCAGTGAAGAGTACAGTCACACACTGCTTAACATTTTGATCAGTAGCAGCCTACATACACAACAGTGGTCCCATGAGATTATAATGTACCTGAAATACTATCTAGTGATGTCATAGCCATTGTCATGTCATATAGTGCAGCATATTATGTGTTTGGGATGCTGCTGCTAGAAACAAAAGTGTGCTGCCACTTGTATAAGATAGAGCACATACAATTAAGTATGGTACTTAGTACTTGATAATAATAAATGACCATGTTATGTACTTACTGTACTATTATTTTATATCATTAGTTTAGAATGCACTCCTTCAACTGGTATATAAAAAGTTGAACAGCCTTAGGCAGGTTTCTCCTTCTTTCCAGAAGAAAGCGTTGTTATCTTTGGAGGTGATAGCTCCATCTCCATTATTGCCCCTGAAGAACAAGGGGACAAGATAGAGCCATGAAAGGCTATGATATTCATGATCCTGATCCTGTGTTGGCCTAGGCTAATGTGTTTGTGTCCTAGTTGTTTTTTTGTTTTTTGTTTGTACCAGGGATTGAACTTGGGTCCATGCGCTTGTGCAGCAGGCGGCAAAACCACTGAGCTAAATCCCTGGCCCCTGTGTCCTAGTTTTTAACAAAAAGGATTAAAAAAACTAAAAGGGAAAGATACTAAAAAAATAGAAAGAGCTTATAGAGTAAGGGCATATTTTTGTACAGCTGTACAATATATATATTTTTTCATGGCAGATAAGTTATGTGCTAATGTTATAAGAAGGCTTGAGGGAGACACATCTCACAAAACTCTGAAAACCCAGTCATTGTGTTTGTAAACCACAAACGGTGTTTTATTTGTACTTTAAGTTAAATGTTTCTACACAAGAGTCAAAAAGTTTAAAGAAAACTTTTAGTGGGTTGGCAGTGTAGCTCAGTGGTAGAGTGCTTGCCTAGCATGCATGAGGCCCTGGGTTTCATCCCCAGTCCTGCAAAATTAAGTTTATAAAGTAAAAATGGCACAGAAACCTAAGATTATTTGAAGAAAAAAATTTTTCTTATAAATGTAATGCAGCCTGTGTGTACTGTATTTAGAAAGTGTATTGTAGTGTAAAGAAATGTCCTAGGCCTTCATGTTCAGTTAATACTCACTGACTCACTCAGAGCAACCTCCAGTCCTGCAAATTCCATTCTTGGGAAGTACCCTGTACAGGTCCCTCATTTTTATCTTTTATACTATATTTTTATTGTACCTTTTCTATGTTTAGATGTGTTTAATACACATACCACTGTATTATAATTGCCTACAACATTCAGATCAGTAACATGCTGTACATGTTTATACCTTAGGAGCAGTAGGCTATACCGTATAGCTGAGGTGTAGAGTAGGCTATTCCCTTTCCATTTGTATAAGAGCCTTCTATAAGGTCTGGCACAAAGATGGAACTGCCTAACAGTGCATTTTGCAAAACATACCTCTTCCTCAAATGCACACGGCTGCATTTTCAAAGCTACCACTAATTGCCATGTGTCCAGAGATATAATGATCCATAGATAACTCCACAAATTCTGCTCATATCTTTTGCGGTTTGGATTTTCCCACAAACCTTAATGTGTCCACCAGACAGTGAATTTGGACACTCAAGGTTGAGAATATTCCCTGGTGTACTGATCCACCACATCTCTAGACTGGATTAATCTAAGGTCTTATGTAGTAAATTCTGTTTTGTTAATGCTGTCAGGGATTATATGTTTCTGATTCCTCCATGACAACTATAGTGGTGCAGTAAGAAAAGACTACATGGGAGTTTGTTTCTCTACTGAATTGTGCAGTGAAGGCACTACCTGGTCCACAGTGTAAGAATGAGCACCTGCCTTGTACCAAGCAGGTTGTCAGTGTTTCCTGTCACTGTTGAATGTGCTGTCAGTATTCTTTCAATTTTTTTCATTGTATGTAATTTTAAACAATGTGCATGTCTTCGTCAAATCAACAGCTTCTGCAGATGTTTCCTAGAAATATTTAACTTTTCAGATAATTTGTGTAACTATCAATCATTGTCTTGTTCATTTCCCACAAGGATATATTAAAAGAATCCATCAAAATTATAGATTTTCAGATGGTTTATAATTTTGTCAAGTTAACATCATATATTCTGAGTTAATATTACTGGGTGCATTGGGTAAGATTGGGTATTGTTTTCCTTGGGAAAACTTTTTTTCTTAATATAGTTAATTTTTTTTCATAAACCAGTTTCTCATTTGTCCACAGTATCTAAAACATCAATCATAGAATGACCACTGACCATCAGTAACTAGACAGCATCAGTAATAGGGTATTAAAAAGGACTTCTTTGGACTTGAGCTTATGTTTGATGATTTCATTGCTATTCAGTTCCTGTATTGAATGGTTGGAGATGAACATAATTGTATCACTGGTAATTAAATAGTTCTTATCTAGAAAGAAGGTAGAGTTGAGATAAATCTAATTTGCAAAAAACTAGTCAATATATTCATGACTAGAGGGCCATTTTGGTTATTTTTATTGCTTGGACACCCTTGGTAACAGTTTTTCACTCCACTTTCTTAAGGGATGAGGTCTCCCCATGTTTTCCAGGCTGGTCTTGAACTCTGGGCTTAAAATAAATGTAAACATATGTCCACATAAATTGCTACAGTATTCACAATGTTCAAAAGCAGGAAATAAAGCCTGTGTTTATTAATGGATAGATAATATGTTGTATCCATACAATGGAATATTACTTGCCATAGAAATAAATGAAGTAGTGATACCTGTTACAATATAGATGTCCCTTGAAAAAAACTGTAAAGTGAATAAAGTAATTCATAAACACCACAGATTACCTAATCCCCTTCATATAAAAGTTCAGAGTAAGTCACTATCCAGATAGAAAATAGATTAGTGTTTTTTGAGGGTTTACAGGAAGAAGATAGGAAAATACAGAAGTGACAGCTAATGAGTACAGGCTTTATTAAGGGTGATGAAAATGTTCTAAAATTGGTGATGATTGCAAGTGTAAGTGAATTATGCTGAAAATTTAAAATATGTGTATTATGTCTCAGCAAACAGGTTCCAATAAATAATTTTGATCCAATTTTTTAAGAATATGAGTATGAACGTGCATCCAAAATTTACACAGCCTTTTACTGCTTCCTTGTATCAGTGAAATAGGAATTCAGTTTGTCTTAGAGACATCACTGCCATTTACATTTCAGTCTGCTGTGGTAGGACCACCTTCAAAAGTTAACAAAAATTATCGAGTAGAAATTTGCTTCCAGGACTACTGTAGAGTGCTTGCCTAGTACGTGCAAGGCCATGGGTTCCATCTATAAAGAAAAGCATAAGAAAGCAGGGGATTTAGCTCAGTGGTTCCGCTGCCTGCCTCGCAAGAGCAAGTACCCGAGTTCGATCCCCGGTACCAAAAAAAAAAAGAAGCTTAAGAAAAATATTCTTGTGTAAACAGCATGCCTCAGAACTTCATAAAGCATATTAATTTGTTAGTCGAGCGGGATTCAATACGCCCAGTCTAAGCGCCCCCTCTCATGTGAAAATGGAATTTGTAATTCTCTGCGCACACCTGTCGTGTCCGCCCCCTTCCTCTTCTTTTCGAAGGAGCCACGGAAAGACTCCATTGTCAGTTCCCTGAGTAGGAAAAAAAGTTCTACTTAAATGTAAATGTGGTGGGCAGCGGGGAGCCAAATTGGGCTACGTCACCTCCCTCCTCACCGTCATTCATACTGAGGGGGCAGGACCCGTCATAGGAACTGTCCAATCAGGCGCGCCACTGAAAAGGCAGTCGAGGGGGGCCGCTGGGTAAAGGGATGTGAGGCTCGCTGTGCCTTCCGGTCGCCCATTGGAAAGCGTGTCACGACTTTAAGCCACCTTAGGTGGCTCTGATCCGGCGTCTATCGCGCTCTGACCTGTACGGCAGCCGAAGGGAGGACCCCAGAGGCTCTGGAAGCTAGGAAATGGTGATTCCGGGGACAGGGGTCTCGAGACGGGGGCACAGGGTCAGGTTGGAACCGGCTATGGCGGGGCCCTGGTTACCCCGCGCCCGCCGTGAGCGGGGCTGGGCTGGCAGCCGGGACCCCGGGACTTACCTGTTCTCTCCCTGCGCGGTGACTTGGTCTGGTCCGGAGCCCCCCGTGCGGCGGCGGCGGCGGGCGGTCATGGGGCACCGCTACTTGCGGGCAGGGTTTGGTACCCTGAAGAGTTGTGGACTTTGACATCCCCAGTCCTTCTTTACTCATTGGAGCCTATTTTTTTCTGAGTCTTACGTTTACGGGAAAGAACTCCAAATCTACGACCCATTTCTCCAGTTTACCTCTTTCTAGACTGGTGATGAATCTCTAAATTTCTGGATCTCTCCCCATATTCCCAAATCCCAAATTCTCCTCTCCAGTTCATACCGTTATCAACTATAGGACCGTCACTCAATACGTCAAACGCAAGCATTGTACTTTTGTTTATGTTTTTGTTTTTGCGGCCCTGGGGATGGGGCGCAGAACTTTGTACATAGTAGGCAAGCGTTGTTCCCTGACCTACACATCCAGCCTCGGACGCGGTATTGTAATTGTCATTTTTTTCCGAGAGAGAAGTGCTGGCCTTAAAAAAAGCCAGGCAGGGCCGGGGATTTAGCTCGGTTCCACCTCCTGCCTCGCAAGCTCAAGGACCGAGTTCGATCCCCGGTACCAAAAAAAAAAAAAAAAAAGCCAGGCATGGTAGTGCAGGTTTGTAATCCCAGTACCTGAGAGGCAGAGACCGGGGATTTGAGCTAGAGACCAACCTGGGCTGCATAGCGAGTTGAAGGTGGCCCTGGATTATAAAACTCTCAAAAAAGCAATCAGAAACCCAACCAAATAAAATACATGTAGTGGGTTTTCCCCCCTCCAGTGCTGAGGATCAAACCTAGTGCCTCTCAAATGCTGGGCAAGCACTCTTATCTGTGAACTTTATTTGTGGACTTTTCACATGAGAGTAAAGCAGAGAACAACTTCCTGACCTTGTTGGTAGAATGACCTGCCTTGACACTAGTTTCGGGTATGTTTGGATTCCCAGTCCGAACTGCCCCTCTCTGTCACCTTGAAAGGATTTTTTCCATTTACTTCAGCTTCAAATTTCATTAACTGTAAAATGTATTTTATCAGTATGGCTTAAAATGTACAATAAAATGTTTCCAAAAAAGACTAAGGGGGGTGGCAAGTAGATTACAGAAAACATTGGTTTTACATTCTATTTGATATATATAAATATATAGCACCGGGGATTAAACCCAAGTGCTTTGCATTGAGCTACATCTCCAGCCCTTGTTGTTTCTTATTTTGAGAGAGGATCTTGCCAAATCTCTTAAGTTGCCCAGGCTGGAACTTGTGAACCTCCCGCTTCAACCTTTTGGAATGTTGAGATTACAGGTGTGTGCCAATATATATACCCTGTGAAAACTTTTACTTTTTTCTTCCCCAGAGGACATGTAGTAAGTTTCTCAGGTGTGTTCTTTTCATTTCTGTGGTTATTATTATTATTATTGTTTTTTTGAGACAAGAGTCTCACTATGTAGTTTAGGCTGGCCTTGAACTCATTTTGTAGCCCAAGCGGGTGAACTTGTGATACATCTTGCCTCAGCCTCCTGAGTGCTTGGATTATAGGTGAGTGCCACCATGCCTGGCTCATTTGTGTGATTTTAAATGCAATTCCAGGGTTTAGCCTGGAGAATGCTACAGGGGAAAGAACTAAAGGAAAATCTCTTTTCCATGACAACCATAGAAAAATAAGTACATTTCCCCAAAAGTGTAGTAAAATAGATTGGTGAATTACAAAGACTTAACATCATCTATTCTTTTTCTTTGCTGGGTGGAGAATTTGTGATAATAAATAATTCGGTTTTCTTTTATCTGGACTTATGGATTCATAGTAAATCATACAGGACAGGGCTTGGCAACACCTAAAAGTGTTCAAATATGATTAATGTTTACTAAGTGATTTATCATGGATAATGAAATGACATCTTTATTGTCTGAATTACATAGATACTCATGCTTTTAGAGCTTGCTATTAAATATAAATGCTTTCCATGTGTATACAAAAATACTGAGTTTTGGTGATTTTGCTGGATTCTTCAAATATTGAGTATTTACTGTTTTAAAAGTAACTGAATGAATATGGGGCCAGGGATTTAGCTCAGTGCTTCTGCTGCCTGCCTCGCAAGGGCAAGGTCCTGAGTTTATCCCCCATACCAAAAAAAAAAAAAAAGTAACGAATGGAATGCAGCTGGGCATGGTGTTGCACATCTGTCATTGCAGCACTGGGAGGCTGAAGCAGGAGGATTCTAAGTTTGAACCCAGCCTGGGCAACTTAGTGAGACTCTGTCTCAAAATGAAAAATAAAAAAGGACTGGAGATGTAGCTCAGTGTGAAGGCCCTGGGTTCAGTCCCCACCTACGGCAAGACAAAAAAACTCCAACAAAATTAAAAAAACAAGGTTTTTTGGCCAAAATTTCATCCTGGGCAATGGCCTGTGTTTTCATTCTCTTAACATTGTCTTCAGCAAAACAAAATTTTACTTAGGTTGAATTTATGTTTCCTGATTAATACATCATACTTTTACTGTTACATCTCAAACCTCATTGCCAAATCCAAGGTCATTTAAATTGCCTCCTGTGTTACGTTCTACAAGTTCTGAATTTTGCATCTTTTATTTGGATTTATCATTGATTTTGAGTTAATTTTATGAAACTTTTAAGGTCTGTGTCTAATTCATTTCTCTATGGATATCTAGGCTTCTCAGCATCGTTTGTTGAAATGACAGCTTTCTCCATTGCATTGCCTTTGCTCCTTCATCAAAGATCAGTTGGCCATATTTGTGTGATTTTATTTGTGGTTTGTTAATTTGTGGGGTTTTTTTGTTTGTTGGGTTTTTTTGGTACTGGGAATCGAACTCTGGTCCTTGTGCTTGCAAGGTAGGCAGTGGAACCACTGAGCTAAATCCTCAGCCCCGTGGTTTGTTTTTGTTGACCTACTGCCTTTTTTTTGCAAACACCACACTGTTTCCAGTACTGTAGCTTCACATAACTCTCATAGTCAGGTCATGTCAATGTTGTACCCTTAAGGTTATTGTCTTGGTCATTTTGGATCTTTTGCCTTTCTATGTAAATTTTGATTCTAATGTTTATAACTAATTGTTAATTTATAACTAATTTTTCTTTTTTCTTTCTTTTTTTGGTAGCCTTGGGGATGGAACCTAGGCCTAATGTTGTGATTAGGTCATGAGAGCAGATCCCCCATAATGAGATTACTGTCCTAAAAGAGGCCAGAGAGGGCTTGTTTCAGAGATAGCACCTTCTATCTGTGTCCTCACATGCACCAACTCCACACAAGGAATGTAAACATGTACTGCAAACATGTACAAAAAAAGAAAAAAAAAGGTATCAAGGGAAGGGTGGAAGGGGGGAGGGTGGGACACAGCTAGAAGCTGCTGGCTCGGAAACCTATCTCATAGATACAATACTTAACAGGTGCCATATGTAATAGTGCTTTAAGTTTGGACTTTCTAGTTGGTAGAACTATGAGCAAACTCAGGACCTTGTGCTTGCAAGGCAGCCATGGCACCACTGAGCTAAATCCCTGGCCCAGTATGATGTATTTTGATAGACTGGCCCCGACTAAGACCGTAGGTTTTTTGTTTCTTTTCTTTTTTCTTTTTGTCCTGTATAAATGATGTTTGGCTTTAAACGTTTTTTTGTTTTTTAAAAAATTTAAATTTTATTTGTACATGTGTGTAGTACATAATGTTTACATTCCTTTTAGGAAGTTGGTACATGTGCATAACATTTTAAATTCTTTTTTTAATCTCCTTTCCTTTCCTCCTCCACCTCTCCCTTGATCCTCTTCCTTTTTCTTTTTTTTTTTTTTTTTTGGTACCAGGGATTGAACTCGGGACCTTGCGCTTGTGAGGCAGGTGGTGGAACCACTGAGCTAAATCCCCAGCCCCCTCTTCCTTTTTTGGTAAATGTTTGCAGTACATAATCTTAGCATTCCTTCTCTAGAGTTGTTAAATTTACATAACACATCTCAATTCCTTATTTTTATCCCTTCCCTTCTCCTCTTCCCTCCATCTCTGGTGCTGGGGTTTTAATTACAAATCCAGTTGTCCATTGCTTTTGTTCTTAATTTGCTGTTCTACAACCTCACTACAATCTCTACTAGTTCTAGTAATTTTTTTTTTTTTTTTGGTACCGGGGATCGAACTCGGGTCCTTAGCTTGAGAGGCAGGCAGTGGAATCACTGAGCTAAATCCCCAGCTAGTTCTAGTAATTTTATATTGGTTCTTTGGGATTTTCTACCTAGACAATCATGCCATCTGTGAAGAAAGGCACTCTTCCTTTTTCTTTTGAAGTGCTAGGGATGGAACCCATTACATTGTACAAGGAGCCCCCCAAAAAGACATATTTCCCCTTTTCTTTTTTAAAAAATTGCTTTTCTGGAACCTATAGCAGATTCACCATGAGAAAGGAAACAGTGTGGGGAGGGTGGGGGAGAAGGGAGGGGAGGGATTCATTTCTTGGGAAGGAGAATTTTATTTCTTGTTATTCTCTACCTTTTATTTCCTTGACTTCTCATACATATTTTTTTGTATCTCTTGCTATGATTTCAGGTTTTAAAAATTTTTTTGAGACAGGATCTCTCTGTAGTTCAGACTGGTCTTGAATTCACTATGTGGCCCAGGCTGGCCTTGAACTCTTGGTGATCCTCCTGCTTCAGCCTCCTGACTACAGGAATTACAGGCCTGTGTCACCACATCCAGCCAAAGTTTTTGTTTTGAGACAAGGTTTTGCTAAGTCAATAAGTTGCCCAGGCTGGGCTCAAACTTGTGATCCTTCTGCCTCAGCCTCCCCGAGTGGTGGGATTATAGGCATGTGCCACCATCCCTGCCCAGTGTCAGAAAACCTTTGCTTATGTTTTCTTCTAAATTGTTC